AAAAAAAAAAAAAAAAAAAAACCCACCAAATACAACACATTATCTCCTCATACTGCAGAACTTGAGTGTTTTCTCTGCCTCCCCCACCTAGTTAACTCCTTCTCATCCCTTCAGACTCAACCCAATCACCAACTACCCTGAGAAGCCAGAATCTCCCCAGTCTCATGTTACCCCATGTACCCTGAGCTCCTCATTAGAACACCTCTTATCCAGTGTTTTAACTATCTATTTATTTGTTTGGATCCCTCACTAGATAGTAAACTTTCTTGAGAAAAATTATTTGGCCCAATGTCATCTCCAAGAATAGAACATGAAGAATTTTATAAAAACCATATTGTGCACACGTCAGGCCCCCTGCTGAACCCCTTGTTCTTGTTTCACCCTCAAAACCAACCCAAAACTGTAGATCTATGCTGTCTAAATAGCCACATGTGGTTACTAAGATTTAAAATGTGGCCGGGCCAAACTGAGATGTGCTAAAACTATAAAGGACCAGATTTAGCGACAATACTAAAAAAGGTGTGAAATATCTCAAGAACGATTTATATTGATCACATGTTGAAACATTTGGATACATTAAGTTTACTAACAAATATTATTAATTTTATTTGCTTCATTTCACGTTATTAAGGCGGTTGCTAAAAATGTTTATATTATATGATGTAAATTTATATTGGACAGGGCTAGAGTGGGTACTTATATACCCATTTTAAGAACTAGGAAACTGAGCCTCAGATAGCTAAATTGCCTTGTTCAGCATGATACCATGAGTCACTGGCACAGCCTGTAAGGCAACGGAACCCAGGATTCTGCCTCTGAAGCTCCTCTTCTCCAACCCCTACACAGGTCTCAGAGCCTCACATGTACTCACCATTGTGAATGAAGTAATCCTCCACTGCACCTCCCAGCCACTCGGCCTTCTCTTGACTGTGCAGGCCCCCGAAGCCATTCTCCACAGCAATCTGCGAACACAGGCATAAGCCCACCAGGTCAGAGCTGGTCTGGGGTAGCCAAAGGGTCCGCCGCTTACTCCACCTAGTCAAGCCTCGGGACCCTCGCCCAGCCAATTCTTGTTCTTCTCCAGGCCACAATCTTGATACTGCCGTGGCCCCACTGACCTGCAGGGCCGGCCAGGCCTCCAGTACCACGCGTATCCCAGCCCGGAAAAGCGTTCGTACATCTTCTGCAGCTCCCGCCATCTTCCGGTCTGGTGCACGTGACTCCCAGGCGGCCAAATCCCTGCGTAGCTCGGCCCAGGCAGAACAAGCTGAAGCCGAGCCTGAGAACGTACACTATTTCCTCAGACCAGGCAGCAAGACAAGACCAATAGAAAAGTGTATCAGAGCAATCGATGACACCACCACAGTTACTCTCTTAAAGGACACCCAACATGGAAGACATATGGGGCTGTGGGTTCTAGATCTGTACTTCTCAGGAGAGATGTGGAGAACATACTACAGATACAGATTCCAGGCCCTGGGGCACAGAACTCGCTGAGCATAGCTTTAAAAATGTAACTTATTTTTTGAGACACAGTCTCACTCTGTTGCCCCAGGCTAGAGTGCAATGGCATCAGCCTAGCTCACAGCAACCTGGGCTCAAGTGATCCTCTTGCCTCAGTTTCCCAAGTAGTGGGGAGTACCTTATGGCAGAATGGGGACCAAAGACCCCATTCTTGGTAGGGGAGGGAACCCCCAGAAAAAGGGAAAATTAAAAAGTAAGCTGAAGGAGTCGGAACATTGCCTCTCTCCCACTGATTCCTTGGAGGAGATTAACACCAGTGGCGTTTTACTCCACAGTTTAATACCTCCCTAGGAGTGTGTGTGTGTGTGTGTGTGTGTGACTCCAGACAAGAGGCTGCCCACACACAAGGCTCAAGTTTCAGATTTCTCAAAACTGCTCAAATTCTTGTTAATAATAATAATAGGAGCTGATATGTTTATTCAGAGAAATTGCTGGTGTCTTTGTTCCCTCCCTCAGCTTACCACTTGGGCAAAGAGATTTGAATAAAAGCTGAGTGGAACAGACACTTGGAGCCCCTCACCGGAGTCCACAAATGGGTAGTGGTCCCCTGTGCTCCCACCTTTGAAAATTCTATTCTGTGTCTCTTTCTTTTATTTTATTTTATTTTCATTATTTATTTATTTTTTTTTTGAGACAGAGTCTCACTATGTTGCCCTCTTGGGCTTAAGTGATTCTCTTGCCTCAGCCTCCCAAGTAGCTGGGACTACAGGCGCCCACCACAACGCCTATTTTTTTGTTGCAGCTGTTTACTTGCTCTGGGCCAGGTTTGAACCTGCCACCCTCAGGTGTATGTGGCTGGTGCTGTAGCCACTGTGCT